GATTAGGCTCAGCTCTATCTTTAAATAAGTTAAGCACTATGTTAATGAAATAGTTATTTGTATTAATCATAATTGGGAACGATTTTAACAGTAAATATTCCCCTGCGTTATTTGATTTGGGGCTGAAGTGTTATTGGAATATTCCACGCGTCACTTGATTTGGGGCTGTGCTATTCCAATAACATAGTGGAAATTGAAATAAAATGGATAATATGTCGAATAACACAGTCCCAAATCAAGTAACGCGGGGGAATATTTGAATAACACTGCAAAATAATCAAATACACTATATAATACTCGAATATCACTTCATTTTTTACAAATAATGCAGATGTATATTCCTATAACACAACAGGATATTCCTAAGTATTGTAATCCGAATGTAGCTCTACGTTAGAAGTCTCGACGTAATATTTTTACTACTTTGTAAAAGAGAGATGAGAGAGAGTGAGACATGGAGAGAGAAAGAGAGAAAAAAAATTAAATTTGTTTCACCAAATTTCCTCTAAATATTTGCCTTCATTTTGAATTGTTTCCTCTGAACTTTTTGGGATGGGTGAAATTCCCCGTTAAGGCTGTATATATATATATATATATATATAATTGATGAGTAGTATTTCGAGCCAAATCGAGCCAAACAAGAACGAACAAATCCTTGTTTCATTCATATATCGAGCACAAAAAAAATGTTCGTGTTCGACTCGTTAGCAAACGAATCAACATGAGTTCTTAACGAGCTGAACACAAGTTGTTCGCGAACAACGAGCCGTTTCGACAACCCTACTCTTGTGTAATTTAAAATTTCTCAATATAAATAATAAAATTTATGAAAGTTTACTTACGAAGCAAATCAATCATTATGAATTTACTTATCTCATGCTAAAATTTACATTTTGACAAACACAACATCTTATCTATGTATGAAAATATGGCTTTTAACTATTGAAGAGTATGATGAGTGGTAAGTTGTAAGCATGAATTTTGGTGTAAGATACATAAATGAAAAGAATTGAGTGCCATGTTGCAAGTTCCCTAAGATTTAGTATTATTTCTTATATAGCGCAACACTTAATGATTATGAGGAAGTTAAGCTAATAATTAAAGAAGAAAAAAATATAAAGTGGATTAATTTGCCCCCATGCCTCTTAGATTAGGCTCAGCTCTATCTTTAAATAAGTTAAGCACTATGTTAATGAAATAGTTATTTGTATTAATCATAATTGGGAACGATTTTAACAGTAAATATTCCCCTGCGTTATTTGATTTGGGGCTGAAGTGTTATTGGAATATTCCACGCGTCACTTGATTTGGGGCTGTGCTATTCCAATAACATAGTGGAAATTGAAATAAAATGGATAATATGTCGAATAACACAGTCCCAAATCAAGTAACGCGGGGGAATATTTGAATAACACTGCAAAATAATCAAATACACTATATAATACTCGAATATCACTTCATTTTTTACAAATAATGCAGATGTATATTCCTATAACACAACAGGATATTCCTAAGTATTGTAATCCGAATGTAGCTCTACGTTAGAAGTCTCGACGTAATATTTTTACTACTTTGTAAAAGAGAGATGAGAGAGAGTGAGACATGGAGAGAGAAAGAGAGAAAAAAAATTAAATTTGTTTCACCAAATTTCCTCTAAATATTTGCCTTCATTTTGAATTGTTTCCTCTGAACTTTTTGGGATGGGTGAAATTCCCCGTTAAGGCTGTAACCACTTATTGTATTTATTGCTTGCCGACACTTTGCCGGTGAAACATTTATTTATTTATTTATTTATTATATTTTTATTTTTTAATTTATTTTTATTATTATTTTTTTGGCTAAGAAAGCCTAACGTTTGTGGATTTGCATGCATAGCATATGAACTTGATGATATTCAAAATAAGGAAAAAAATATCATGTGTGGAGTACAAATATGTCCAAATTTATGTACAATAAAATTATACACTATCAAACATATGTTGTATAATGTTATACAATAATATTGTAATCCGAGTTCAGATACATCCGTAGGTAATATTCTCTTCAAATTGGTGTCCACCAATTTTGGTCGTATCTCTGACTGGTCATAGTCAGTGACTGCATCCATTAAGTGATGACTATAAAAACTCTATCGAGCTTGCATGTACTTGTCAAGCTTGTTTGTTGAGCCTGCTTATATTTCTCAAGCTTCACCATCAAGGTCATTTACTGATCTTTTGAAGTTGTCGGCAGGGCAGGAGAAAGAACTCTGACTCATTATTATCCATGCCCATTTATGATCACCGACTCCCATGGAGCTCTCTTGGTCCTCTCTTTCCGTTGAATTATCTTAGGGGTTGGAAATGAGTCGAGTCGAGCTCAAGGCAATTCAGCTTGAGCTTGAGCTTGATTGATTTTATCGAGCTCGAGCTCGAGCTTAAGTCTATGAGTTCGAGCCGACTCACAAACCGACTTGTTTATTATAAAATAGTGAGAATAATATTAATTTAATCTAAGTTTATAATCAAATCATAAATATAATGAGCAATTATGAGAGAAATAAAAAAAACACTTAATATAAAATATAAAATATTTTTAATTACATTAAAGATAAAGTCTTCAAATTAAATATATTATGAGTATATTTTATATTATTATTATTTTAAACAAGCCAACTCACGAGCTAATGAGTCGAGTCCGGGCTAACTTTTGTCTTCTTAGCTTATCGAGCTAAATTCACGAGCCATTTATCGAGGTGAGTGAGTTGACTTGACTCACTTACACCTTTAGATCATATCCTCCGCTCTACTCGAGAGGGATCAGAAAACAAAACATATAGTTCCAGCCTGGAGAATACATCAATCTTCTTATTTCACCTTCCTCGCACAGATATCTTCCGGGCTGTGTGAACTCACAGATATTACAAGACCTAACTTCCTACAAGAATTCAACAATTGATATGTTTCAAACTTGATAAAACCAATACAATACTCACCTTGAAATGTCCCAAAGTGACCATTTAAATAAATTTCACTTTAAATGTTCCAATTTAAATAAAATTAAATTAATATTTTTAAGCTCAAATTGCAAAATATTCTTTTCCACACGCCTATTTATCCAGCTGCCAGCCATTATCTGCTGTGTATACATTTTAGTTTTGACTTGAAATTAAACTGTAATTGGCATCTTCTTTGTATAATAGAGATTGTTGGAGAAATAGGGAATGATAATGATGAGGCCATAATACGTCTTATAGAAGGAGTATGTAATTTCTGACCTACATATGTACACAAGATTATGTCCCACATATTTCAAACACAACAAATAGATATTTTGTATTAAAAATATTATTAAAAACATAGTGGGCATTCATGTCTGTTGAATCCAAATATGTCCTTTGGATGTACCGTGTCTGCCTAAGGGATAGAGTCGAATTCCGGGGGAAGGAGAAAGTAATAGAGAGAAAGAGAGAGGGTTGCCCCGTCAAAGGAGAAAGAAGGGTGGTCGCCGGGTTTGACGACTCTTTTTATTCGACACAAATGAGGTTATAATGTGAGGGTGAAAGGAAGCAAGCTCCCTACATGAGGGGGGAGAGAGAAAGTCTAAATAGACCCATTTTACATTCAAAGGGCCCTCGTATTGTGTTCGCTAGTGTCGGGTGGGCGACTTCGGTGCTCGATCATCTGGAAGTGGTCGGTTCAATATCAGGCGGCCGGCTGGGTGGCATACCAACAATGTTGGTTAGCCCAAGCAGTTGGTCGGTACTTCTTCAGGTGGTCGGTCGGTGGCTGGTCAGCAAGGTAGTGGCCAGTCGATTCAAGGCGACCGACTGGGAGGGCGGTCGGCATGGGTGGTCAGTCCGAGTGACCAGTCGATCCTTTTTTAGGTGGCTGGTTGGGTGGTCGGTCAGCAGGGTTGTGCTCAAATGGCCGATCAATTCTTCTTCATCTGACCGGTCGGGTGGTCGATTGACATGGTTGGCCGGCGAGGTTGGTTGGTCGGGATGGTCGACCAACTGGATAGAGGCAGCACTCGTAGTTGTTGGTGACAGCTCCAACGACAATATCTTAAGCGGCAGCGATTCCGTTGGTTCGACGAGGAGACCTACTTTTAGGCTATACAATGTCCAACATACACTTCATAAATAACTTGATTAAATTTTTTAAAATTTATTAAAAATATATATATATTTTAACTTTTGTACTTATTTTAAATGAAAAATTTATCACCACCCACCAAGTCACGTATCATTTCATCATTTCCTCTCTCGTGTTTCAACTTTTCATACCCTAACGACCACGTCAAAACATACCCTCTTTTTTTTTTTTTTTTTTTTTTTTTTTTGAGAAGTTAAGCCTTAATTACAACTGGATTAAAACTTAACAACTACACTTAGAATGTACTTTAAACTTGAGTCTACTAATTGAAAAAACCTCCCCTCTTTTATGCCAAAATACCCCCCACTCTGCACTACCACCTCTTTTCCTATGTTGATTTTCAAAATTAATGTTAAAACTACATGTTAGTATTCTATTTATCTTATTTAATCTTTATACACTATTTTTTAATTATATTATATAAAAATCATGTTTAAAAACTAAACCATGTATTAAATTAAAAGAAGAAATTCAAAGTTCTATAATAGGACAAGGTATTGAACCAAAGGATGCAATAAATATTAAAATTATTTGATATTATTTATATTATTTAATAATAATAATGCACGATTAATGCATTCACTAAAGCAATATATAATAAAAATCTAATACAAGTCATTCCATTCATAAGTACTTAATGACCCAAAAAGAAAATTTTAGAAAAAATATTTTAATTTATTTTTAAAATTAAATTTTTTTATTTCTAACCATCAAATTAAAATAAATAAATAAACCAAAAAATATCAATATTAAAATAAAAGTATTATTTTTTTTAAAGTTGAGTAGGTTAAAACCAAAACAAAATCTGAGTTAATATTAATATTTAATCATATCCAATCAAATAACAAATATAACAAGCTTCAATTTTCAAAACATAAATTCAAACTACAAACAACTCAATAAACCCTAATAATACATGAACAAATCATAACTATCATTAACATCTTCAACAAGATCACCAAGATAACCCTTTAAATTCAATCCAAACTCCAAAAAAAATAATAAAAATTCCATATTTTCCTACAAAGCGGTATTCCTACAAAGTTCACTCTATACCCAAATCTCCCCTTTCCTAACACCAAACTATTCCTATACAGAATGCATAAGAAATCCACAATTCAAATAGCCAAAAATTAAATATCAGAGTACAGAATCCGAATGAGGAGAAACATTGAAGAAAATAAACATCAGAAAGCTCCATTTTTGGACCCAAAACTCAGTTTTTGATTTGAGAGTTGAGCAATCCAGTTTGGAAAGATGAAAGCTTTCAGTTTCTGCAGCCTCTCCAGCAGATTCTCAATGCAGCAGAGCTGATAAAGGGATTCAATAATCAGCTGAATTTGCCTATTTCCATCTTTTTCTTTATAGCTTTTTGGCTGTGGTATACAAACGCATCAACTATTCCTGAAACAGTGAAAATTCCTGCAACACAATAGAAATATTGGTTCATTATTGGAAAATTTCATGGATAGAGTTACACAGATTTTAAGTTAAATCAATTGCTGTGTATAACTAATTATAGAAAATACAGGATTTAATAGCAGCTAATTATGATTAATTGCTTATGAATCAAAGTATAACTAGCAGCATTCATTATGTTACAATTTTAGCAAGGAATTTTACTATAACTTAAATTAATGTAAATAAATGAGGCAAGTTTGTATTCCTGCAGCCAATAATGCATCAAAAATTCAATTTATCGGAAGTTTTTATTTAAACTTTTTATGAGTTGAGGCCAATCAACAAGCTCCAAAATGAATAAATGACAAAACAAAATGAATTTAAGGCTGAAACAGCAGTGGCCAATTAAACTTATACAAAATTAATTAGATTTAAAAAATTAATCAGATTTAAAAAATTAATTAGATTTAAATAATCACTGATAAAAGCAAATAAGTGATTAACTATATTACTTATAAAATATATAGATTCATTGCCTTAACGGCTATGTTTCACTGATGCAAATTTAAGAAGAGATGCACAAGAAAACACACGAAGAAAAGGATAGGCTACAATTCTCAATCTTCTGACTTTTAATTTAGGAAAATGTCAATCTCTGATGAAAAATCAGAAAAAAACAGTGCTTTCGTTATAGCAGTAATGAAAAAATCACAAAATCTGAAATTTCACAATGAATTTCAGTACAAATATAGAAGTATGTAACTAAGATTCAAACAAATAAAAGTTTGCATTGACTATGAAAGAACACAATTACACGCACAAACCAATTTTTAAATCAGTTTGAATGAAAGAATAAGAATAGAAGTCATCAATTGGAAGTTTCAAGCCTTGCCTTAAGAAAGTTAACCAAATCTTGCAAAGTGCCAGAAAAATCCAAATCTAATAGTACACATGAAATTCAAGGGAAAACATAATTTTTTTCAGTAATCCAATATTAACTTCATGCCTAAGGAGGTCTTCTATATAATCCAAAAGAGCCAAATCAATAATTTCTCTAAATCCTCCAAACTGCGGCCCAAATGTAAGTAACAATCAATACACTTGGGTTTTGGAAGAATAACAAATTTTCAATCTTGTACATCAAACAATACAACAACAACAACTAGCATTTATAAATCTTTTTTCTCCATTGCGTCCTATTGAATGACATTTTCATTTAATTCTAATAGATTAAGATCATTTTTTATACAATATGGCCAAGTCTTTTTAGGTCTACCTTTGCCTTTCTTAACATAAGTCGAATCTAAAACATCTACTTTCCTAATTGGATCTTCAAATGGTCAACGTTTAATGTAAAACAATAAAACTTATAATTTCAAAATCCCACTTCACAAAGCCAACCATTTTCTCATTCCTAAACAGTGCACTAGACAAGAATATTGAAAAAAAGCCAGATAGAGAGATACAACTCCAAGGACATATTAAATTAACAGATTTCTGCTACAATACTAGAGACAAGAATTGAGTAAAATGGCAGAATAGTTCCAGAGTCTATAAAAAAGTCAAATTAGTCCCCTTAATATGGGCTGAAATTGTCCTGAAGGAAGACTATTTTAGTCCCTATTAAAAGAGTAAGGACTAAATTGACACTTCTATCTCTGAGACTAAAAAAACACCCTATAAAGAGTTTGGCGATCATTTTGAAACTTTTCTCATACAAGAATTAAAAATGTGCTAAGAGCTGCATACATAAGAGCATAAAATAATGATGCTTTGTAACATGTAAGCATCTAAGGCTCGATTAGTGGTACAGATATTTGCGCCAAAGGGAAACTCATTGAGAGCCACATAAAACAACTCAGTAACACTCCAACATATTCAAAGTATTGGCAAAGCTACAGTAGCTATAAACCAAATACTGTAAGTATACTGAAGCAGAGGAAAAGGAAATACTTTTTGGGAATTAGATGGGCTCAATCAAAAAACAATTGCAGCAAGAAACCAAATCTAACAAGATTATAAAAGCATTGGAGATGTCCCCTTCTCAATAGGATCATCATCATATTAGGTATAAATTTTTCATAATATTAGAAGATTCACATAAATATCGCTTATTTCCTATGTATTTAAATTTCAAACAGGTAAATTTCAATTTTCGCATACATACCACAATACCTATGTATGAAAAGGTGTATTCCACACTTTAAAAGTTAAAATGGCGGTATTTTTTCTGTGATGTGAAATATTTAGGTGTTATAAATAATAATAATAATAATAATAATAAATTTTGGACATGTTAATACATAGGAATTGGGTAGTATGTACGTAAATGCCCCTAATATTATCAGAGATGGCTCACACACAGGTAGCTATATCCAAGAAGAAAGCAAGAAAAGAATCCAAATTATTTAAAATAAACTAATAATCAAAAGAACCTATTTCAAATGTGTTAATTTTTTTAAAAGTGAGATAATTTTTAAAATTGAGAAACCCAACATTTACTCAATTGATCAGTAGTCAAACAAATCAAACAAATTATGGTCTGGTTTTTCTGTTAGGAGCCAATAAATAAAAAATCACAGACAATACTTTGAAAGAGAAAAAATTGCATACAGATGAGATGGGTGCAGAACAAATACGAATTGGTAGTATTGTGATGGTATTTTGGTTATATTGTACCGCAAGGCCACCAATCCGCACCTACGGTGTCCTGACGTAATATTTTCTTGTTTTGGAGAGCATTGTTACATTTCAATAAAAGTTAAATTTGTCATAATGATAAAGAGAGAAGAACAGACCTCCAACAATTGCACACACGTTAGTTAGGAAGTGTAAGAATGGCACATGCGCCTCCGTGAAAGTCACCTGCATTTCATGGCCGGGATGAATAGCAAATTCAGAGCTGCAAATTCAATTTTGTTTACAATGCAATAGCATAATAAATCAAACTGAAAAAGTGTCAAAATAATCCCCTAACGCTCTGTAAGGAGCCATTTTAGTCAAACTCCATAAAGTGTCAATCTAGTCGAACTCTTTTAATATGGGCTGAAATAGTCTCCACGAATGATTATTTTAGCCTTAATTTAAAAAGTCCAGAGACTAATTTGACATATTTAAAGATTGAGAGACTAAAATAGCCCCATGTAAGTAGTCAGGGATCTATTTTGGCACTTCAATCAAATCAAACAATCAAAACAAAAAATCTTATCATAAAAAGTTGTTTCTTTAATGAAATTCATAGTATGAATTTTCGGCTACCTAATCAATCTAGAGTACTAAAGGAAAAGTAAGAGTAAAATGTTTAAATAGTCCCCAAACCTTTTACATGGGCCATTTTAGTCCCAGAGTCTGTAAAAGTATCAAATTTGTCCCTCAAACATTTTAAACTGGAGGTGAGGACTATTTCATAATATATTAAAAGAGCCCGGACATTAAATTGGCAATTTTATAGACCCTAGGATCAAATTGACCCTCTACAAAGAGTCAGGGGACTATTTTGACAATTTTCTCAGTAAGCAAACAACATTTCAGGTAAAAAAACTTCAACCTTGATAATATAACAATCTTTAAGGAGACAATTAAAATAATAAAATATGTCACATGACGTGCTTCCAGAATGAATAAACTGGATTTTGAGAATAAAATATCAGGGAAACTAATTAGCACGCAGCAGAAAAGGCAAAATGTATAATTTTCAATCTTAGCACAAAACATTAAATTCCCTCCAACAAACTGAAACTCAATTCAATGTAAAGAGCATGCCATAGCTGTTATTAAAGCAGCCAAATAAATATATATTAAAAGATAAAATTTAACTTGAGACGAACATAAGAGTCCATATGAATAATATTTCAGAAAAAGGTTTCAGAAGAACTGGAGGCATTACCAGAAAGCAAATCTACAGGATCATCAGCAATGTATAAGTAAATTAATTCTTAGAAGATATTCATCAAGAAAAATAAGTTTTAGTTAAAGGAAACCCCCTGCAGCTGTACAGTAATTATAAATAAAGATAAAAAATAATGATGATGATTATTAACACCATTCTAGGTGGATGGATATAAATAAGTAGTGTGATAGTTGTAGAATAAATGGAAGGGGTAACAATGTGAGCAGAAATACAAAGAAACAACCTCTAAGGTCATAAAATTCAAGCAAAAGTCCATAATCAGGTTCTAAGCAACATCCTTATACTAGGACATAAGTAAAACCCTACTTCTAATTCAAAAAAAGGGGCTCACACAGCCGTCCCGCCTCTGTGGGTGTTATAATTCCCATAATCGGGATTTCAAGGCGGAAACATCCCACCTTCGTCTGCTGTGCACTTGTGGCAGACCCCCGCATACGGACGTCCGCATCAATGATAATGCTTTTAATATTAATATGGGAAATTTACATACGTAGCACACAATTCTTGTGCATTTACATATTTTTCATATTTACATACATAGCATTTGGTCCTTTAAACCGATGCATTAAAAGGGTTATTTAACTTTTAAAAAGTGATAAAATATTTTATTTTTGATGCAATGTTAAAGATTTGAGTGCTATGTGCGTAAATATGAAAACATAGGTTTAACACATGTAAATACATAAGAATTGCTTGCTATGTATGAAAATGCCCCTATTAATATTCAGGGATCTCATAATTAATATTTAGGAACACATATTGTAACAATATTTGTTCTTAAGGTCTTACCTTAATTGGGGAAAGATCATAAAAGAAGAATACTCCAGGAAGGGCTTGAACCCTACCAACCTCACCAGCCCTAAAATGTTCTGTCACAGAGAACTGAGAAAAAAAAAATTATTAGAAAATCAGCCAAAAGATTTTTGAAAAAATGACTCAATAAAAAATATTTATGGCTTGCCTGATTAGATTGAATTTTCTGCCCATTTAAGTCATTATAAACACTGGGAACAACCTGAAATAAATCAAAAAAAAAATTGAAGAACCCAATAAGAAACTAAAGTATCAGCTTGGAAATGCATCAACAGGATATTGAATCATAAATATGAGGTTTACCATGAAGTTCGACAGAAGAATGAAATTTTACTAACCTTAATAAAATATTGGTACATCCCATATGGTGCTTCTTGTATCCACTGAACACTGAGTATTTCAGAATTTTCAAGAATGAATATTGAGGAAATTGAAAGCTATTAATTTGAATGTCTATTGCTAGGAAAATATACAAAACGACAATGTTAAATGATAAGATGGTGAGATTTCAAAAAAGAAAATTAATCGATCCTTCAAGGCAGATTGTTGAAAGAGCCAAACTAGCTCTCTCTCTCTCTATATATATATATATATATGAGGTAGAATATATAATCATTAAAAGGAAGATAGAAGGTTTGCCAATAAAGATAATACGCATAATAAAAGATACAGCTTCTGATAATTTATATACTAGAATAAGTAATAAAAAAAATGAGATATATTAAATAGCAAACACAATTAATTAAAGATTTACAAACTTTTATCTAATTAAATGCATGAAATAAAATGATATAAAGATTTTAGTTGAAGTTGAAGGCATCAATAAAATAATGAAAAAAACTTCTATGAGAAATTATTAATTGGAGTCTTGATGATGAATTCTTCTTGCAACTACATAATTAATAGAACAATAAGATAAATTATTGATAAATCTAAAAGAGTGAAGAAAAGCCACGTCTCAAGCTAAAACTTTAGTTTGAATAAATTATTTATTGAGATATGGAGAGTGATTGATGAAATTGTAGTAATTAGGTTAATTAAATTTTTTTAATGAAATATTGACAAGTAGGAGGATGCTAAATAATTGAAAAAGAAATACCATAAAAAAAAAAAAAAAAAAAAATGATGTCCAAGAATGTCGTAGGGATACACAAATCAAACTAATTGGTAAAAGGAAAGAACAATGGAACATAAACAAAAAATTATGTAGATATCATAGAATCAATGTGGTGCTATACCAGGAAAGATTATTATTAAGTATGGTCTTTAAGTTATAAAAATTGATGAAAAATAGTATTAAAAAAAAAGTTCACATGAATTTTATTAAAATTTATAATAAATTTAATTATACATAAAAAATGAGTGTCAAATAAGAATACAACTTCTAAAGTATAGATTGGGTGATTAAAAGGAAAAGTGCATGAGCATGACTAGGGAGTGTTGTATGTATGAAAAAAAAAAAACTATTTAGACTTAAAAGGTAAAATTTATAGTACAACAACCAGACCATTTTTGTTGTATGGATTTAAGTGAAGGACAATAAAAAGTCATTAAAAATCGAGATAAGCAAGGCAAATTTGAGAATATTGTGAATTCATGTCAAAATTGGGAAAGGTAGATTGATAATGACTATATTAAAGGAATGTGCAAATTGCAGAGTAGCAACTATGGAAGAAAAAGTAGTGGAAAATAAACTTATGTGATTTGCATATGCAGTGGGATAGGTAGACAATGAACCAATATTCACAAATAAAATAAATGATAAAGAAATAGAAAGAAAAAAAATATGACAAAAGTAACAAGAATAGAAGTTGGTCGACAAAATTTGTGGAACATTGGATTGACAAATCATACAATACTAAATAAAAATGAATGTAAAAAAACTATCAATCCCAAACACTTGAAATAACACTAATAAAGATAGTAATTGTCCACAGAGAAAAGATCCCATAAGATTTGTGAAGACGGTGAGAAAAGAAAAGTACCCATCAAGAGGATTTACCACACCGGGAAAGAAGTCTCCAAATGCAATTTTGTTTATTTTGTGGCTTAACTGCAAAAAGGATGATATTACTATGACATATTAGCTGGCAGAATCAAATTATAATATAAAACTTATTTGATATCCCGTTTGCAACTACAGTCAAATAGCTTGAAGATCCATACATTAAAACTATCCTTTTGGAATGCCTGTAAATCATGCACATGAACATTTGATTGTTGAAAGCTTTTTCCGGGGGCAAAATGAAAATTCCCAGCAACTCTGTTGACATCTAGGAAACCATAGATATTGCATCCTTCACCTTCTTCATCTTTAATTCTTTGCAGAAACCCCTCTCTCTTACACTGTAAATTTGTAGACATTTACATAACTTTCACAAAAGACATCTAACTAACAAAAACCTAACAAAAATAAACCAAATGATCTTATTATATTGGAGCATTTGTAAAATATTATTTAAAAGACAACTCAAGCAATAAACCATGTTAAAGACCTGATCAATCAAATCAGGGTTTGACATCCCCCAACCTTTCTTTCTATATGCTTCACGGACCTCTTCACAAGAATTGCAACAGTCATCATCCAACTACAACAAATAGCAGAGAAGTCAGAATCTACTTACCAAATAATTACTTTGAATGACGCATTAGTAACAATTTTTAAAAAATTAAAAGCCCAGTAGCTCATGGTCACACAAGTTTTCAATTCAATGATATTCCCAGGCAAAATAAGTAAAAAAGATAGAGATCTGATTATATCATGGTAAGATTATCAGTTTAGAAAATTAAAAGCCCCGACCTATAGCTGCAGATAGAACCTAGTTGAACCTTGAGGACATAGTTTTGCACAATAAAGTAGAGTCCAGTTATCCTGGAGTTTACAGGTAAAATAACTTCATTATTTATATATGCATATTTCCAGCAACTCCAAAATCTTAGCTTTGTTGTTCAGATGACTTTAAGAACCAAAAATGGTGGAAGAAAATATCCAAAGTTGGTATCATTGGCAGAGGGAGTTAACAATCTCATTTTTTTCACTATACTTTGGTGAAATTTAGTGAAGTCTCATGGTCTTCACCTTTTATTATTGAAGCATTTACATACATAGCACAGAATTCTCATGCATTTACATATCTCACGCGTAAAATTTCATAGTTACACACATAGCACTCATATTTCTAATATCACATCAAAAATAGTATGATTATCACTTTTTAAAAGTCAAATACACATTTTTCTCACATAGGTTTAAAGAAATAAAGTGCTATGCATGTAAATATGAAAGTTTAGGTGGGAGATATGTAAACACATAAGAATAGTGTCTATGAATGTAAATCTCCCTTTATTATTTTATGCCATGAAAATGTCTAAAGTTAACTCATAACACAAACTTGCCAGGACACATGGAAATAAATCTTTCAGGTCTCACTTGGCCTTTCATATAGGCTGACCCTGATCTCACATACTTTTAAATTTAAGTTACGAACTAGCCACCAAGGACATGATAAAGATCTTTTTTTTTTAACTTCACTTGAAAAAAAAAAAAAAAAACCCAAACTCCACCGGATTCTGCAAGTTCACTGAAACCACATGACCATAGATGAATTTGACCTGGAGCCACATTTGAGTTAACTTTCATTTACATAAGGTCTTAACATGAATAATGTAAAAAGCCAGTAAATGTAGCACAAAGTGACACTTGAGAGATGGTTGAAATTTTAAGTAATTCAACATTTAACTAACCACAGTTAAGCTTGTCATTCAATATAATTGTGAGAAAATTAAAGGATATAGATTAATCAAGCAAGCCATATTAACATTATGGGAGAGATCAATGGATCAAAAGTTCAAGAAAATTGCACTGACCTTAGAAAATCTATTTGATTATTCCACCCAAATCAAATTTAAAGGCAAGCATTTGAATTCAAAAAACTTATGACCCAAAAGCAAAGTAGACCCAATTGCAAATATAACTTAAGGCTTGACAGAGAGACATTTTGCAGAGATAAAGTACATCATACATGCCTAAATTATATAAGTTTTCTGGCAGGTTGCAAAAGAAAAAAAATAAAATAGAAAGAATATAGGTAAATTAAACTTTGAGGTGTTTGTTTTAGCGTTAAGCTAATCACTTGCAACACATTGTTTACAACCAAACAACCATAACCACTTAACTAAAGTGTATCAGCAAAGCCTATTTGTCAAGATGAATGATTAAACACCCAAAACTACCAACATCAGCAATGAAACCGTATCTTATATGTACAAAGCCATCAATGGATCAAAAAAATAAGATGTAAGCGTTTTATCCTACAAAATAAAACATGAATCACGCCGTATAAATAATTCATTTCAAGGTGTGAAAACCCCATAAGAAATAACACGTTTACACTCTGAAATGAAAACATAACGATCAAAATGATTTTGTCAGGAGTTTATGGTACCTGTTCAATGCCAAGAAAGCATGCTAAGATTATAATATGGAGAACAAGTAAATGACATAAATTAGAAAAATACATACCACTTCTGCACCATAGCATGAACCGCAATAAGTCTCATTATGTTCTAGTCTCCCACCATGTCTCTGTAATGGCTTCTCAATCTGCTAAATAAAAAATACAGCTAAGAAAAAGAAAATAAACCCACTAGTCCAATAACATGAAAGAAATTAACAATTAAAAACTTCGCATTATTCGGAAAGAACTAGAAGAGAGTAAACCAAAAAAGATAGCCATGTACCCAGGGAAGCCTCAAAATATCCCGAAAATATGATGCATTTTCAACCCATATGCTTCCGAGAGTCAAAATGAAATTCTATGCCTTCAATCTTCGGACAAAAAGAAAAGCCCTTTTAAGTTTTTCTTGTCCACGTGTTGTTTTTTGTAGGTTCTGATCACTGATTATTAAGCGATTATTCAATGTTGCAAAAGTTGTGGTATTAGGCTTATCTGCAATATCTATTAAGCTGATGGCCTTTAATGTGACATCAATGCCTAGAATTTAACTTTTCTGCACAGTTTGTTAAAGAAAAATTCAAAGACAACAACCTTTGGGGAAATTAGGTGTTATAATCCCAAAATCTGAACATTTGGCGAGTAGTTTTTCTACTAAAGAAATCTCCAATTTCTCTCAAATTTGTGTTATTTACATGTTTTTAAGGTCTCATCATCATTTTTTCCCCTAACTATTAGATCTAGCGTACTCATTAGAAGTCACTAGAATGCATATTAGCGTCTCAGCATTTTCATTACTTGTCTTCTTTCATAATTGTCATTTCCATGCTTTTCATGAAGTTCACTAAAAATTTAATTGTTAATTATTACAACAAAATTATATTGTTAATTAGGACATAATAAATGTAAAATCTAAACCACATAATAAAGTAAGAATGTAGCTGCTATAAAGGCATACATTGAGATGGTTTTCGCATTAGTTATGTTTTCAATATATCTGATTTAACTCTAGTTCATAAATTTGCAACCAATGCCATGAATTCTCCGTCCTACCATCTCTTTGCTTGCTAACTCACATAAAACAAATTGTCATATAGTTCTACACACCATGCACCTAAAAATCCTAGATAGTGAAAATGTGTCCATTAAAGTTCGTGGAAATGATGCATTAAAAAATACACTAATGTATGTAACATGTTGAGGACTCGCAACACGATAATGAGAGTTGCACGCCAAAATTGATTGAGCAAAGCAATTATGCACTACACATGCTGCTCATAAAAGTTGCAAATAAATTCTCTAAATGTGATTGAATTTAGAGTATTTAAACATGTTTGTAATAGCTTGGAGGCCTAAAAAATTTCAAAAACTTTATGAAATAAAAGCCAATAATGGGGGGGTTGCTTGCAGTTGCAATGATAGATAAAAACTACATTATACAAATTTTAATAAAAACTCAAGAAAATAAAATAGTCGATGTTGCCTAAAATTCGAGAGCATAGAAATGAAAGTAAAGCATAGTTGAGCCAATATGACCTCCAGTACTCCAAGTTTGCGCACGTTGTTATTTCTCTATAATTTCTGTCAAAATATAATTTTTATAAAATGATTTGAGTAATAATTCATAACTTGAAAAAAAAATGTTCCGTCAAGATTGAATTTGAATTTATATGACAAGGGAATAAAATTTATATTCATAGCTTGGCGTGCAACATTGAAATATTGGATTCAATATTTTCGAGCTATATTGGCAGCATAAAATTAGTTTAGTCAAGATTTGCAAGCGGATGCACAACGTTGAATTCATTTATGAGTGGGCGCCAACAAAGCAAATACAAGCAGGGCTACAGTTGTAAACGAACCGAGCTTGAGCGAGCTCAGACTTGACTCATGTTCAACTCGTTCAAAATTGACTTGTGTTCGAAATTGTTCATGAATATTGTGATCATCTTTGACTCAGTTTATATATTATTGTTCGTGTACCATTCGAAATTGATTAGTTTAAATTAAATAGAAAAATAGATGATGGATGTTGGATTAGAAGCTGCAACAATTCTATGCAATATAAGACACAAAACCACATGACAAAAAGGATTGTTATGATTTAAACTTAAAAATGAATATATAAAATGTATTATTATATAAATAATATGGATATTATATTATTATATAAATAATATATATAATTTATTTATTTTCAGTTAAAACGAGACGAACATGATTGAACAAAGGGTTGTTCGTGTTTGACTCGTTTATAATTCGAGGCTAAAAAAATTATTTGTGTTTAAGTTGTTTAATTAACAAACGATTTGAACACGAACTACTTAATGAGTCAAACACAAGTTTTTTTTATAAGTGTAAGCAAGACTCATGCCAAAATTATGAATATGAGTGCGGAGTGTAAAAAAGCACATGGCTGGATGTGTTTCACAAGATGTGTGCATGTGATGGGCCGTTTAGGCTTCTTGAGGGGCAAGAAAAGAGTATGCTAGCAAGACAAGACCATTGAGGTCTGTGAAAGAGGTGGGCCTCATGGCTCAAAAAAACGTGCTAAAGTTTCACATTAAAGTAAATTGCATACATATTCAAATTAACCATCATGAAATGAAATTTCAACAAAAATGTTAAAAAATAAATGAAATAAAATAACATCTATGAATCAGAATGAAGCCAAGTTAAATCTTATCAATTGATTGTTAAAACTTATAACATACGAAACACTAACAAAATTGAAATGAGTGTGATATGAAGCTAACAATTTTAAAATGCAAGCGTAGAAGAAAAAAATGTATCAAAAAGATAAAGATGATACACAAATTTAGTTGATCGCATGGTTTCGATGAGTCCACGATTTAGGGCATATTAATTTATGAATAACAATGTCATTAGTTATTCACCAGCTGGAGTTTTGCTACTTCCTGGCTACAAGATATCAGGGAGGTAATGCGAGAAAATTATTTAAATTGAAATAGTATTGTGTTTTTGTCGGACAACTTATTGATTTTGAAATTTAATTTAAATATAAGAGGTATATAGTCTAAGTTTTGAAAGTAGCATGTTTTAATTGTTGAAAAATGAGACCAAATGGATCTTCATTTATCCAATAGTTTGCATAATCGCGTCTGATGCGATGAATACTACACATATCCGAAAGGTGAGTGTATATCTCAACGGTAGACCCAATCCTGCAAACTAAGAGATTTATAACATTTGTTTGGCCTGCGAACCTTTTTTATGTGTGACCGACAAGTTCCCTATATTAAATAGGGTTTATTTTACCTGGATTTCAAGTTCCCTATAGAGGCAAACCTTTATAGTTAATTACATCTCAAATGACGGGGGTCACTTAAGAAAACTTTCTATAATGATCAGAGGTACTAATCTTCAAGATCTCAAAGTTAGGTTTTCACGGTAAGACATTGAAAAATAAATGGGAGTGATTCAAGTAGAAACAATTATTTTCAAGAGTCCAAATGAAAGAGAAGGTAGGGGATGTCACGGATCATGAGAAGAAACCTCAATGACTTCCTAAATTATCCTAATGTGTGGCTGAGTTTTAGAGACAATGTTATTTAGGTGTTTAACCTTGTCAATTTTATTATTTGGGACTTACACTTGCATGATAACTGATTATGCAAATAACCCGCAAAGAGATGAGGGTTATCGTAACGAACAACATCCTCAGAACCTAAAGTGAATTAAGACTTACGCTGCACAATATAGTTGTGCAGGAGCCTAAAAAAGGGGATAAGGATTTATGTCGCGCTAGGCGAGCTACCTCGAAGTCCTATGGGTTGTGAATTAGACTAAGGAGAGAGATAATGCTGAAGGACTCTTGTTGCTCGGTCTGAATTCTTCGTCGTCCTGCCCAGAAAGTTGGCTCCAAGCTCCTGTTGTAGCGATGACTCCAGAGTTTAGGTGTTTAAGATTGGTGATTTATGTTTCCCAGTTTCGGTATCAGGGTTGAAGTGTTTTGTTTTGTTTCAATTTTGATTTTGTTTTGTTTCAATTTTGAGTTTTGTTTTGTTTCAATTTTGATTTTGCATGCAGAATAATCAAATTACAGGTAAATAAAAGATACTTGAAAGGTAAAATACAGTAAAATAAAATGATGTAGATAAACTGTAAAAGCATACCAGGGCATCTGCTACTGTTGCGTGATTAATATTGCGAGCATAGTATGATTTGCAATAGATTTAAACAAACTTGCAAGAAAAATAAATAAGGCAAGAAAAATAAATAAGGAGAGAAAACTCAGCATGAAAGTCAGAAAAACGAGTCGTGGAAATTATAAGCAAAATGAACCATTAGCCACATATGAAAGATCAAGACTAGGTGTAAGACATTGCCAGAAGTGAGGGCTCAGAGTTGCACTGTGTGCTTCCTGTTGACCTCACTTTTGGTTGAGGTCTAGAAACTTCTTTAGTAGCCTAGGTCTAGCCATAGGACTTTCCTATTGACTAGTCTTAGAAAACTAGAGAAGGTATTCTCACCATTAGAAACTCAAAACTCTTCTCTTTACTCAACTTGAAGTTCCACATATTGGTTCTAACCTCTAGCACTTAGTAGGTAAGATCATTATGAGGGAACTCAAGGAGAGTTCCTGTAGGACTACTTGGCCTTAGGATTGACCCTGGGTGTTGGTTTGGAGCTAAGGTACACTATACCTTCACCATATCTTCACAATACCCTCACA